CCGACAAGGATGAGAGTCGATTGTAGCGGACGGTCTCCACGACCTATCGCCACCTAGATTGTGTGGTCCACTATCCCTCATGTTCCTGCCATCAAGGTTGTTTATTTAGCAAATATTTTTTATTGTAAAATGGATTTGCGTATATATGCGTATATATACTTCGCGCAATATTACAAATCCGGTATATACTCTGCGTGCTTTGCTGCTTGGCCTTCTACATGGCCATGTAGGCTGAGTAAAATAGGCTAGGTGCCTCTACATGGTCATGTAGGGTGGGTAAATGCAGTCGGGTACGATGGGGTGGGTGATTCTATCGCTTTGCGCACCCTTGTCTTCCGCCACCCCCGACAACTAATATTTACTCTCTAAACATTATATTTCTTTGGCAGCTTGCGTGGACAGCCTGCCACGTCATGGTATTATATACCATTTATAATTCTTATATAAGTCAAATAAACTATATATGCGTATTTGATACAGAAATCCAGTATTTGCCCAACCTTGCTGCCATGGCATGACGCCATAACGCTCGAGCCGATGACGCTGCCTGCGTCGCAGCTGCACCGAATCGACGAGTGGTGCCGCCTCGGCCATGAGTTCCTTCACGATGCACCCCTCGCCGCGCTTGCGCTCGTTCGTGCTACTACACGAGCTGGAAGCACTTTAGATTCTATGCTCTCGGCACGCTCGATGCGCAGGTTGCTGTCGGCGAAATTCTCTGCCACGTGCGCGCGTACACTACCGCCCACGCTTGGCTCCAAGACGCCATGGTCGCTTCAATGCGACCGACTCGGACGAGCACGACGCCATGAAGCACGACTGTCTTACGGCGCTGGGAAACGAGCTAGCGTCCGCCCGTGTCTTATTAGAGCGTGTCGCGCTTCTGGACGAGCTCTTGACTACCAATTTGGAAATGGCTTGAGCTCGCTTGCTCTGCGCCTGCATCTTGGATCTTGTATCTTGCGTTTCCGTTTTGGATCTTGATAATCTGGATCGCTCGGACTTGTGCGGAAAACCTCTTCCACTGCTTGGAAACGGCCCTATCCCTTGTTCGCGGTGCACGCATCACCGCGGCAGTGTGTGAGCCATGGAGGAGAATAACGAATATGTTGTGCTGCGTATTCTTTTGGTTATCCTGTTGCTGTCCAACTACGAAAGCCCAAGCAAAGCGATGACAATACATATGATGGATCCGTTCAGAGTGCTTTGGGCAAGGGAATATAACAGTTCTTGTCTTGGCTTTGGGCAACAATTCCAGGCTACGGGGTGCAAGTGACACCAATAGCTCCTCGTACAATTGTAGTGGGAAGCGTCTATACCTGCGCCGTCGACAATTTGTCAACAAGATATATTGGCTCGAGCACACAAGTGGTGTGTTCACATCTCGATGCGTTCAGCGTAGTGACTACACGGTACACTGCAGCGGCTCGTCGTGCCCACGTGTCAGACGGTGGCGCCTGGCACCGAGTCCACCGTGTAACGATCGGTTACACGGCCAAGCTGGAGCACGAACGAGACCCAGCTGGCGACACGGGCCTGGCTCACGATGGAAGCGTCGAGCTCCACTCGTTCCCACTCAAGGCATGAAGGCCAACCACCAACGAAGGGCCGCAGACGAACGTAGACTAGCACGCTAGGATAGGTTCGTCTAAGATCAATCACTTTGGCTTTTGCACTCTTGCAGTAACTCGCAGCTTTAGCAAAGCACCTCGCACGGCAAGCTTTAACACCACGTCCTGTGTCTATTGCGAGCAAAGCAATACGACCGATTCATGACCAGTAGTGTCCAGTGACTGGCGACTAATGGAACGAGCGCGTAGAGCAGTGCTGGGTACCGGGCTCTTCAGCGTATTGGTCCCGTCCAAGGTTGACCAGCCCGGACACATGAAGACACACCAGAAGGTCTCCGTGCACTCGATGACTCGTCAGCCACGCCAGGATTATCGCTGCTTGGCCAGGCTCGCAAGCCGAACTTCAAGTGTGTGCTTCAAGGCGCTCGTTTCTGTCCCAGCGCATAGCCCCATTTGAAAATGCATACAAAGCATTTAATCAATATAGGCTGCATATGAATTTGGACTTAACTGGAAGCCTGTATTGTCCAACGTAGAATATATGCATATGCATCGCTAGCCTAGCATGGCAATCTAACGAGCCAGAGTTGAATTGGCACCGTTTTATGTGTCTCGGACGTGACGATGGCGAGTGTGCTGCGCTGCCACGATCTCGTGCGCCTTGTGGCGTCGTTCCAGGATGGTCAATACCTCGCCGTGTGTAGCTTCCTCCGCCTGCCGCGCAGCTGCTTTGCCGACCTCGACATGCCACCAGACGTCGAGTGGGGCCACCACTACGCCCGCGCCGTCGCCACCGACGGCGACGTGGCCGCATGGTACGCCACGTACGGCGTCCACGGCCTTTTGCGCCTCCTCGCTGCCAACGTCCGGCCCTGCGTCCAAGGCATCTACTATTGGATCGTAGCGTGCCGATGCGAACGCCTCTTGCAAGCGATTGAGATTGCCTGCCCATCGACTGCACCGCGTGGCTTGCTCGACGTTGCCGCTGCCCGCGGCCACGAGACACTCGTACACTGGCTACAGTCCCACGGCCATGACACGTGCTCGACAAACGCGATGGACCTTGCGGCCGAGCGCGGCAGTCTTCGCGTCCTCGCGTACCTCCAACGGCACCGAACCGAAGGCGCGACGTCGGTCGGTTTCGAAGCCGCCGTCCAACAAGGTCACCTCGACGTCGTGCGTTTTCTTTACGAGCACTACCCAGGCCTCTGTCGTCCCAACATTTACGAGATCGCGGCCGCGTATGGCCAACTCGACGTTCTCAAGTATCTCTGTCGGTACACGGCCCCCTTTGCCGTCTCCATCCAGCGCGCCAAGCAAACCGCAGCGCAGACAGGTCACTTTGACGTGCTCCTCGCCCTCCACAAGCTCTACCCACGCCCTGAGCACCTAGTGCCCATTGCACGTAGCGCGCTCAAGCGTCAGCACGTCGCGCTCTGCGATTTTTTCGCGCGTTCTCTCTGGCCCGTACGAGGAAGCTTGGAAGCCTACGTCGGCCGCAACTGCGTACAGTCGTGCATCATTGAAGCGTCACGCGCAGGCAATTTGCCGATACTCGAGCTCATCGACGTCTACGAGCCGCGCGTACCATGGCCCCCGGAGGCCTTCGAGCGCGCAGTCGCGGCGGGCCACGACCACATTGCTCACCTCATTTCATCCCGGCACCAAGAGGCGGTGACGCTGACGTCGGTCGACGCTGCCATGGCCAGCACGCGAGCACCACTCGCCCTTGTCGTATTTCTCCTCGAGACGTTGGGTTTGCGCAGCGACCCACGCATTGCGGTGCTCCACGGCCGAACGGATGTCTTACAATACCTCGTGGACCACCCGTGGGCGGTTCGTGACGGCGGCTGGGGCCCCGAGCTTCTCAACTTGGCTGCTGCGCACGGTCGGCTCGATATGGTCACACTTCTGCACACAAGGCGCCCGGACGATGGCTGCACGTATGCTGCGATGAACCTCGCCGCGGGTTTTGGCCACTTGGACGTCGTCGCGTATCTAAACGAGCACCGATCCGAGGGCTGCACGGACGACGCGCTGTGGAAAGCGATGGGTCGCCGCCACTACGCTATGGTGCAGTACCTTTACAGCCATTGTGCTGGCTACTTTAGCAGTGACGCTATGGCGGCGGCCAAGACCTTTCTTGGCGCGCCTGTGCACTGGGACCGCAAAGGCAGTCTTGGTGAGCTCGTCTGCTAGTAGATATTACATGTACTTGACAAACAATAGTATCCTTACCGTGTAGCCGATATCGATAACGCCACGGGCTGAAGACTGCCGCAGCACGAGTTGGTCGTAGCAGCCGCCGCTTGTAATGCGGCAAGACTACTCTAACCGAGTGCGTATGGCGATTAACACGTAGCTAGAGTCAAAGTGGTTGAATTTCATTGCCGCCCGTGATTATTTGTGTCGGCAAGGCCCTTACGGCGTCAAAACGATGTGGAGGTCGTCGTCTGCGTCGACCGTGGGCTTGACGGCGATCGCAAACTGCACGATGGCCTTGATGTACCACGTGTCGAGGGCGTTGCGCGTGTAGTAGCCCAAGTGGCCGCCGTGCGTCGTGACCGCGAGCAAGACGTTGGGGTTGGCCTTGACGACGTCGTATGGAATGGCTTGGCGCGGGCAAATCGGGTCATCGAGCGCCGAGAGGCACAGCGTCGGGATCGCAATCCCTGCAATGTCTATTGCATCTACATGAGCGCACAAGTCGAAAGCATTCTACTGGGTCGTACAAGCTGCTGATGATGCATCCTTGTAAATGTCCAGCGGTGTCTCGTAGCTAGCGCGCGATAAATGGTCGCGTGCACAATGTCATTTCGTACCCAAAGACAGGACATGAGTAAGCGCGATCAAAGTCTTCCAAGATGCGTGCCTTCTTGAGCTGCTTCAAATTTACAGTCGCCTCGGTGCACAGCACGGCGTGCGCGTTGCTCTAAACAGCAATGTGGCAAGCTTCTTCCTTGACGAATGCACCTTTTTGAAAATGAGTTTGACGAGGCCGCTGGTGAGAGCTTTGTTGTAGATTTGTCGGTGCCACCACGACGTGGCAAGATGCGCGGTTGTCATCTCGAGGTCATACGGGTTTGCAAGCGAAATCGCGGCGGTTAGCAGACACAAGTTGCCCGCTTCGCCAACATACTTGAGCAATATGTTGGCGCCGAGCGAGTACCCGACCGCAATTAACGGCGTTGGCGCTGGCGCAGATGTGGCGCGGAGGTGTGCCACGACCTCTTTGACGTCCGCGGTGACGGCCGGACACACGAGCTAGGCGCGCTTAGTTGCCGAGTGTAGCGGTGGCAAGCGTACCTTGGGCGTCGTCACAGGAGTCTTAGCACAACCCCTCGCATTCATGACCACGACACGAAAGCCGGCGGCAAGGCAGCGCTTGGCTGTGAGCTGAATGTACGACTAGACTCATTTGCACTAGCGCAATGGAAAATCGTACAGTGTACCTCGTGACTGCCGCCACCCAGACCATGCATGAGCACCTAGAAGACAATATATCACCTCGAGGAGATGGAATCCCAGGACGCACGATCGTCGGCGCGCTTCGGTCGTCAAGCAAGGTTGCGAGGTTCGCCGGCCGTGCCTTGGGCGACGCCCAGTCGAGCGAGACCGTACCGCCGTCTACCAAGCGAACGAGCTCGCGCTCGTAGTGCACAACCTTGCGTGGCACGACGTTGAGACTGTGTGTCATTATGGTTTGGCAGTGCCCGTTCGGAAGGAACCATGTTGGTCGGAAGGCCTCGTCTACGCAGGCTTGATGAGACGCGCTGCGCTCAGACGTTTGCCTACGTAGCGCCGGCAGTTTGGCCAGAAGCAGGCGGCTCGGTGCGGCCAGGCTCTCGTGGGCGGTGAGCCGAGGCTTGCGGTCGTCTGGCATCTTGCCGATTCGCAATCCGAACACAACTGGCTCGCGATTCGTGCAAATCGTAGCGGTCGCGTCGCTGATTGGGCACTGGCTATTTTAAGCGGCCCAATCCAAATCGCCTTGTAGGATGTGGCATATGCCACAAGCAAGTTGTCCAGTTGGCGCAAGTGTTGGCGCAAGTGTCGGTGGCGCGCTGATCTTTTTTGGTTGTTGTTTGGACACGATCAGATTCGATTGACCGAGGTGAGGACCAAGTGATGTGGACAGTGACGGTGCGGCAATTAGATTACCCAAGTGATCTACCGCCCAGTTCATACTAGTAGTGTACACTACCGTGGCACTTCAAATGCATTGCTGCTCCACTGAACTACTAGTAGGTACTACGGCCTTGCTACAATTGTACGCGCAGCCATTGGGTGGACAGGCATACTGTTGGTGTGAAAGGAAGTCTTGGGCCATACTAGTACGAGTTACACTCCATAGAACTCACATAAAGCGAGTGCGAAGGGCACAAATACTGCGTTCCGAGCCCTAGAAACGAGTGGCGTGCTCGACGTTGCGGGTAGTTCGGCTGTTGTTGGTGTCGGTGGCAGTGTCGATGGCATTGTTGGAGTCGGGGGCGTACTTGTCGTTGGCACCGGTGCCGGCCCGATCCATAAGCCCGTGGCGTTGCAATTGGAGGCGCTGGTGCCGATGCAAAACTGCTGCAGTCGCGGCGAGCATTTGTCGTTGCACCACGTACAGCACCCTCGATTTTCCACGCACGAGGCAAAGCTTTTGGCGCGGGCGCACTGGAACGGATCCGTCGAAGTCTTGCCGAGCTGCCAATTGAGCTGAAAACGGCAGCCAGATCCACTCAAACAGACAACAACGACGACGTAGTCGCCGGGGACAAGAACCCGCGTCGGTGTTTCATATGGCGTCCCGGCGAGGTCAAGATTGCAGTCGGGATTTTCGCAAGCAAAGGTCGCGCCTTGCTCGTACGCAAGGTAGCTCGTATCGCGACGGAGCAAGTAGACCTTGTACTGGTCGCTAGCACCCGCTCGCACCATGGGTTCGGAGCTCTCCAGAGGCGCGAGGACAGCACCACCGGGCACACCCAGGCACGTGTACTTCAAGACGGACTCCTTCGATGTTGTGTTTGCCGTCGAGTACACGGAGCAGGTTGGTGTTGGCGTCATAAACTGATCATATTGAGCGACTGAAAGCTCTGAGCCGAGGACAATCGACGGCCAGAGCACAAAGACAGCGACGAGGCCCAGCGACAGCAGCCGGGGCATCGGCACACGGATGGAGAGAACTCTGGAATACGATATATTTGAAAGGTTCTTGAATTCGTCGAACAATATCGTTTAGACTTGAGCTCTGACGCCGTATGAAACCGCACCGAGCCTCGTCCGCCGTGCAGAAGAACGCGCACATACAGTGGCGCGAGGCACGCGCATTGCATTTCCTGGTAATACGTGCGTCGCCAAGAGGCTTGACGGGGTCGTCAACGGGCGATGCAATTTTCTGGCGACGGCCGGGTGCGGAAAGCGAATCACGATCTCATTCCATCGGACTATTGGTACTTCTCTCGTACTTCGCAAACAAAAGTGTAAGGCGTCAAACGGTCTGTGGATCCGCTTCTAGCGCCGAGGTGTTGATGTTCAGCATCTCGATGTTGAGGTGCCGAAGGGTCGTCTTTTCCCACTCTCACGCCGTGAGATCAAAGCCCAAGCTTTCGCGGGTGCTCATGGAGATGTCGTCATCCGCGTTGCATCGTTGTTGCCTTGCTAACGTTAGCCTAAAAGCCGGGTGTTGTCAGCTTGGATTACCCTGGCAAACAGGACCTCCACTTCTGGGTCAATCGAGTCAAATGAATTGTGTCGATGGTCAATGATGGCGATGCCGACGTTGGCGGCGTCCGACTTTAGCGTGTAGTTGACTGGGAGGAGTTGTCGAAGGCGTACGTTGGGACGTGCTTGGAGTGCGCCACCGAAAAGGTCGGGGCCAGTACGTCGAGGTCAGCTCGGACCGGGAACGGAAGCCTGCGCGAGCCTAGAATGAGCGAGCGCCCAATATAAACAAACTGTGTTGGTCTTGGTGCAGGCCGCGAGCAGCGGTCTGTGGCAGTAGAAGCCTCATACAGTGGTTGAGCACTCGATATTCATCAGCTCTCGAACCACTAGGTCGAGACAAGGCGATCTATCAGTAGATAGTCCTACCGAGAAACCGTTAGGATGGGACTGTACAGGAGCCTGTGGCCAGGGCTCCAGCAGTCAGCTAGCTTTAGTTTCCTATTTGCCTCAAAGTACAATGTACACACGCCGGTATTTGGGAGTACGGCCTCCCTATGTCTGGCGTCGTCTCTGAAGCGGAAACGGTCACACGGTCGCGCGCATACAAACATGGTGCAGCGAGTACGGTACACACTCCCAAATCGCGATACGAATCGGCCATGGGCGTGAACTACCCGCACGCATGCTTGGACACGCGCCAATCTTCTCCGCGGTCCGCGGGCATAGAGACGACACCAAACTCGAAGATCCGAGACGTCCTTGCGAGACTGTGAATTTTGAACGACGCGCCGATCGAAAAGAAAAGACGTGGATGTCGTCCGACAGCGGTTGGGGGCTCATCTCCTCGAAGCCGAGGGGGCTGCGGCGACCGCATTGATCCTTCTCTGATATGTCGTCGGTGCAAATTGGGTGGTGTCGGCAGGTAGAACCGTAGTTCCGTGACATGCCGCTGATTTTCCGATGACGATGCATACTGGGCGACCACGACGAGCGAGGGGAGCATCATTAGCTGGGGGGTGATCGGTTGGCAATTACCTGCGCACCAGTAAGACCACGGAGCGGGGTGCCGCTGTCAGTTGCCAAAACTGACATTCGCAGCTAGACGCTGCCTTCACCGGCTCTTGACAACCGTGATTGCCTGCGTGTCATCATACCGCCTCCATTCGTCTGAAGATGCACACAGGCCAGCAAGCGTTTGACTCGACCACATCCGTAGACGCATTGACAGTCTGAGTGGCGAGTAGTTCGACCGCGCCCGAAAACGCGCATAGGCCCAGTTGCTGTTGATTCGGCCGAGACCACAGAGTCGCTGGTACCAGCGCCGTTGTCGAACCGAGCGGGTGTAGTTGCGTCATTTGTCTTAAGTGTGACGCACGAGTACCCACGAGCTGCTTCACAGCTCAAAGTCCACACTCAAAACACCCCAATGTGCCGACGGGCGGCGTTGGTGAGAGACATCGTGACAGTGTGAATGCGAAGCCGCCCGTCAGCACCGGTGTAGCACTTGCGCCCAACATAGATCAGGCATTTGAGCTTGGACACGCTGCGCGGGCTTATATTGAAGCTCGCCGTCACCAAGAGGCGCAGTCTGGCGGGCTTGGTGAGTGTGCTTGGCCGGCGTGGCTTGAGCCCCAGAAGCTTGTGACGGTTGCGAGGGCGCCAGTGATGCCGCAGGCTGCCACCGCAAGGGAAGAAAAAACCCGCGAACGTCTTGTTGAGCACTGACGACGTTGCCTTGTTGGGAAGAAATTGTCGTTGAGCAGATAGATCAATGCCCAAGGCAAGTGCATCCTCGTCGTACAAATTGTAACTGAGCGAAGTTGGCGAGCCAGTCGAGCAAAATCAAAGGTGCCGAGTTCGAAGGGAAAACGGACCTTATCGCTCCCACCCACGCCCGCCAGGGACGCAATTGGTAGGGGCGCTAGAAAATGATCGAGCTGAATGTTTAGATACGAAGGGTGACAGTGTCTTGACTAAAGGCAATCGAAACCGCGGCGCTTCGCAAGCTCGACGGCCATCGTCGCGCGCGCCACCTGATAATTGCTCGTCGCGGCAGGGCAAGCGTGCGGACAGTGTAGGACTCGACAATAATGATCACGCCGACAACCAAGCGCCTTCCCTCGAGGCGTACCGAACTGGAAACTACGATTGAGAAACTAAGCTTGGGATCACGTTGCCGCGCAGATGCGGCCTATGTCGCCGTGACAAAGCAAGGTACCGGTGAGTACTTGCGGGAGCATTTGGCTGATACAATACATTCGTGGATGGTACTGAAATCAAGCTTAATCTGCGGGTGATAATTTTTGGTGAATTTTTCCGACTCTGTTTTACCTCCCACTTTGTGCCTGTTGGTCGATCTGTTGTGTTTCCACCATTTGGGAAAGTTCCACGCCTGGATCGCCGAAAGTGGGCCAAATCACTTATATACCCTCTTTTGTCATTGACTCCTACAATTTGGCGTATTTTCGTGCCAGTTCAGCATGGAGACGGTGTGTGCGATTGCTTGCGTCCTTGGCTCGACCGACCTGCTGCGCCAGATCTTCGGTTATCAGCTTGGCCTTCCGCTGCACTACAGGGCGTCAATCGCGCGTGTCGACGTCCCGTGGCTTCTACGGCTTTTTGCGACGTCGTCCCATCCGCGCAGTCCTGCCATCGTCCTTGCGCAACTCGAGTGGGCTGATGAACTCTGGGCGGCGTGTGCAACCGTTGACTGGACGCTCCTGCGCGACGCCAAACTGGCCTTGTGTCTCGGTCTTCTGGCGGCAATATCCCGGTCGTCGAGGCGCTTTTGGCCACGACCCACAACGCTGTGCACAACATACAGTGGCGCGTCGCTGCCAGCTTTGGACATTTGCATCTACTGCGGTACCTCGCCGAGCATGACGCCAGCCACTATACGCCCGAAGTGCTGCACAACGCGGCGTGGAGCGGACATGTCGACGTCATTTGTTTCCTCCATGAGATCGGCGCTGCCTTGGACTATGCATCCTTTGCCCATGCCTGTGTACAATGCCATGTGCCCGTAGCCGAGTACCTCTGGCAACATGAGCCAGCGCTTCACGTGCTGCCACCGTTTCTTGTCCAGCGTGTGGCCGAGAAGGGTCATTTGCCCGTCTTGGCCTTCCTATTCGATCGTTTCGGCGGCGTCGGGTTTACGCACGGTGCGATGGAGTCCGCGGCGCAGGCGGGACATCTCGACGCGATGCGCTTTGTACAAGAGCACATCATCAATCCCAACCACACGTACTCGATGCATCTGTGCTTGTACCTCGCGGCCACCAAAAATCATGTCGACATCGTTGCCTACCTCGTTCACGAATTCCCCGAAATGTCCGTCGCAACAGTCATTCTCGACGCTGTCGCAAGTGGCTGTGCAGACGTCGCTTGTTACCTCGTGGCCCAGCGTCCGACGGCAGTGCCGCTTCGACGACTCCACCGCGAAGCAAAAAAGTGGGTCCGAGCAAACGAACCGCCAATCGAGCAGCGCCAGCAACTTCTGGAGTTTCTGGATACAGCCATTCGTACTCGAAAAATATCGAACGCGCGGAAATCGTGCGTAGCCCAGTGAATGATATGATAACGTTACATTGACTTGGCGACTCGATGTTACATCTTGTGTTTTGGTGGAGCGTTGTACTCAGTCGGGCGTTTCGTGTTGGGTTCGCTAAGCTGCACGCCAGCTCTGCACGACGAGAGCGGTGGAATGGACGAGGTGTTTATGTATACGACATGAGCCTCAGAAGAGTAAATTTGTTTCGCTACTCGAACACATCTCGAAGATTTGGAGGCAAACAAGAGTTTCTTGGCGCTCGCCTGCCATTCTTGGGAGTCGTGGCGGGATCGCTTCATCGTCACAGGATCAAATCGGAATGACTATGCTACTGGGCTCGTCGTGACCTCTTCGTTGTCCCATTCCTCTCCTCTTTTCTCCTTCTGTTACTTTCATGCGCTCGACCTCATGCGCAAAAAACTCCTTCCACTTCTTGCAGTCGCACCAAGCGATGTGTAAAATATACTTACCGGTAGTGCATAACCTTTAGTTGAAGTGTATTGATTGCATGTCCTCAGGACCAATTCTCCCACTTCTTATCGGTGCACGAAAGGCGGGCCATGGCCGAACGCACAGGTTGCCATGGGATTTTAGCGGCTGGGCGATGCCGTCATGAAGTCATTAGGTGCATTGTTCGGCGACAGTACACCCTCGAGTACGCCTGAATTCGTGATGTTTGAGTAAATACGATATGTGTTTGTGTCATTGTCAACCAGCTCGCTGCCTTATGTCCAAGGCAACGAAGCCAACAGCGTATCGCTGCTTTACACCAACGCGCGTTCTCACTGGGATGCAGGGCCCCGAAAACCTCTCAAACACTAACATACGGCTCGTAATGCATTTTCGAGGGTAACTCCACATGCGACACGAGGCCCGAGGCGCCCAAGCACCACATCAGCCTTGCCGCCACGCTACGGCAGCTAATCCTATTCACCGACAACGCTACAAGAGTCAGCACTGTAAGACATAAGTAGGCAATGCTATAGTACGCGTGGTGCAG